CATGAGGGTGCATCAATACGCTTCAATATTCCTTCAATACGAGCTCTGTCAATACGATGTTTTAGTGTGAGACTGTTCGTTGCATGGGTAGGTTGCCWTTTTTCACGAAAGTTTATAAATTTTACAAGAGTTTGAAAATATTTTGTGATTGTTTCTCCAAATCAAAACAATGGTGTCCAATAAAGATTTAGCTTTCCTCACCATTACTTTGGCTGTGTGTGAAATGAAAACTCTGAAAAAGAAACGACGAAAGCGCTCGTCAAAGGGGTGGTGCATGCTGAGAAATCGTTTTACACATGAGCATTTACTGCGCCATCTTCGCGACACAGAACCTGAAGATTTTAAAAATTTGGAGCTGGTAAGACCTAAAGTTCAAAGACAAGATACTGTAATGCGCAAGGCCATTCCGCCATATCAAAGGCTTTCAATTACATTAAGATATTTAGCGTTGTCGAACATTATCCTGGAAACATGCGAATCTATCATTGAAGCCTTAAAGGGAAMTATACAGGTAAGAAGTTTAAAAGATAAACAAATGCTTTTAACAATTTAAATCAACCATGTTTTCATAAATATAACAATTCAATACAATAAATTCAATAATTCAGTAAAATCCACTCAATAATTCAGTACTTAAAAAAATTTTTTTTTTTTAATTGCTTAAAATGATGAAAAGTGTTGCAAATATTCGCCTACTGTAGCTGCTTCTGTTTGAAGTTCAGTCTTGGGGACGCCTCTTCTGGGGGGATGATGGGCTCAATTTTGTAGGGCACTGCCGACATTTTTACTTGTGTTTCATTCCCATATGTTGGACTCGGTGATGTGCTGCTTGAAGATAACGGCGTTGGTTGCAACACAGCATATGAATAATGCGCCTGAAGATTTTCTTGAACAAATTAATTATTGGAAGTAAGAAAATGCACTCCATGTTTAGTCAAACTACCATTCTCAGCTTCAAACAGAGTGTCATTAATAATTTGGGAATTCTTCTGATTACGATACTCTACATTCTTCACTTTCAGTCTGGAAAAAAAGACAGTTTAAATAAAAAAATGTGCTTCATTTGCAGGTACCTGCAGACGGTTGGAAAGAAATTGCTAATGATTTTGAAGAACAGTGGAATTACCCCAACTGATTTGGCAGTATAGACGGAAAGCCTTTACTGATAGAAAATCCAGCCAACTCTGGATCATACTATTACAATTACAAAGGCACTTTCAATATTGTACTCATGGCCATTGTCAATGCAAATTATCAATTCATGATGATTGACGTTGGTGCCAATGGACGAGTATCAGATGGTGGAGTTATKAAGAACACAGTATTGTGGAGAAAGCTTTCAGAGAATCAACTAAACTTTCCACATCTCAGATTGTGTTGATTGGAGATGCAGCTTTTCAGCTACATCCAAATTTCATGAAGCCATATAATCGTGCTCAATTAACCAACGAGAAACGCATTTTTAACTATAGATTATCTCGAGCTCGACGAATTTTTGAAAATGMCTTTGGAATTTTGACACAAAGATTTAAAATATTCCAAAAACCAATTAAATTCATCCTAAGAAGTGCTTAAAATAGTAATGTGTTGTTGTCATTTACACAATTACTTGTCAAACAGGAACCAGGCGTTTTATATACGAAGAGKTGATGTGGACTATGAGAATACAAACAATGGCACTTTCGAAGATGGTTCTTGGCGAAATGAGCAACAAATTACTTTGCAACTTCAAAAATCAATCAGAGGTAACTCTACTGTTGATGCGAAGAATATCAGAGATGATTTCACAAAATATTTCAACTCGCGCGCTGGTTCAGTTTCATGGCAAAATAATTACAATCTACAGYAGTAATTTAAAATACCACTCATATATGTATGTAGGATTCAAAATCAAATAAAAAAATTAAAAAAGAAGTTATCAGTACTGTACTTACCTCTGTACTATCAGTTGCAGCTATGGCCATTTGGTCTTTGATGAACATCATCTCTTCAAAGTACCATGCTTTTGGAGTTGGAATAGCATCCGTTAATGCCTCTGATCGCTTCGCACTTTCAATTGCTTTGTAGTCTTTATTAAAATTTGTGCGCAAGACGTTTATTTTCTTTTTAATTTTTTCTATAATGAAGTCAGGTTTATAAAGAACAAGTGCTGCATGGATTTTTTTAAATGCTAATTGTTTTTTTGTTTGATTGAAATAATCTTTAGATTTCACTTTCCACAACTCGGGCAAATCACGATAAAGATTTATTAGCATAGAAATAAATGTTCACTTTCACTTGTTTCTGCCATTGGGCACTTGTTCAGACTACTTAACGGGGCAAAATTATACACATAAATGAGCTCATATTGATCAATAAACGTTGTAGACGTAAATATGAGCATCAATATAGTCGCCGTCAATATGCTTCAATATAAAATCCTATAAATATGCTTCAATACGCCATCAATATGTTTGAAGCCCTCGTACACGTTCATGTGTGGAATACAATGCTCGCGACAGACTGCAAACGACATCTGTCAAATATTGAAATACAAACGCTCTTATGGACGGACCTGTTTTGACAGCTGCACGACTACACGACTGCAGGCCGAGAGTTGTCGTTCTCGCTAACTTCAATTCGATCCTATATTTGCCAACGACAGTAGAGTTGACAGTAGAATGGAAGATAGAGAGATGAGGTAGAGTGGTATGTTGCTGCCTTCTCACAAACGTTCATGTGGTAGGATTCACAACGCGGTTTCAGTTCACTGTCGTGTTGCTGCAGTCTGTCGCGAGCGTTGTGTTCCGCGCATCAATATGCCCTTCAATACGTATTGATCAATAATATTGATCGTCTACGCGCTACTTAAGTTTTTAGCTTTAAGAATCGTCACTTCTTGTAYAGACGCCAACAAGTGAAGAAGTCTTTTGAGTTATCGTAATAAATAATCCTTTAAATATTAAATGTGGTGGTTTATATCGCCACAGTATGTACACAATTTCGTTGTTGCCATACTAATACCTTTCACTTCAAAAATGCCAAAAATAAGGAAATAGGTATATTAGGTATAATAGGTTATTGCGGCAACTCTTGGTTTATAGGCGAGGGGGCGACGAGGAGAGGAGAATCGTGCCGAGTTTCCAGTGTTCAGCAACTCGCTTTGTGATCTTATTCGTAACAGTTCGCTGTGACGTTTTTCTGCATTCGTGTTCTTTCTTTCGTAGTACATAGTTGCATTTGCGTATATTATTTTGAAATTAATATTTTGAATATATTTAAAAAATTGAATTTCATCTTTTGGTACGTAATTTGCAATTCGAATTTTCGTGTGAATGCAATGGGCAACAGCAAAAGAGAATCGTCCGAGAATCAGCAACAAAAGTTGCTTCGTGTAATAGCCGACTTAGCAAATTTCTTTACAGTTTGCTAAAGGTAGAATTCACAGTGACGAGTTACCAAGGCTTAATCAACTACTTATTAATAATCCATAGTTAACTATTAGTTAAACCCCAATCAATGTTGGCTAACTATTAGTCAAATAACAGCTGATGTTGTGTATCATTGACAACTTCTTTCATTGGCGGCAACAAATCAATTCGTTCACTTATATTTTTGGTATAATTTCAATCTGTCCGTTCCAGCCATTCCAATTGCMAAACGTCAAAACCTATCTTGCTTAACAGACTTTTGAAATAAAGTATATTGAATATGAAATAGGTTTTATAATATAATTATATATAAATAAACAAAATTTGATTGAAATACAAAAGCGCAGAGGAGTCTCGTTTTAATAATTAAAGTATACGACGCAAAATAATTCGCTGGCCCATGGCATATTTTCACAACATAATTAAAATGTGTGGAGTTACAGCTTTAATTGTTTAGAATTCTTTGTATCCTGAGTGCGATTACAGTACGTAAATTATAGAGAAGGTCCAACCAGAGAATTTAGATTTATATAGAAGCGGTCAGTTGCAGACTAGCGTGTGAATAGTCAAAATATGACAAAATACGATGAGTGGATTTTAATACTGCTAGCTCGTGAGGAAAAATTTTAGCAGRTCAGCGTGAACAGATCTTCTTCTCTTCTTAATTGGCGTAGAAGCAGAGTTAACAACAGCGCGTCAGTCGTTTCTTCTTTTCGCAAGGTGGTGCCAAAGAGAAATTCCAAGCGAAGCCAGGTAGTTCTCCACATGGTCCTTCCAACGGAGTAGAGGTATTTCTTTTCCTTTGCTTTCCCCGGCGGGTACTGCATCGAATACTTTTAGAGCTGAAGTGTTTTTGTCCACACATGCGACATGACTATGTCAATTGTCTCGTATAATCGATCGTTCCATCGAATGCATCGTGGTCAACGTGCAAAAGACCATAAATCTTTTGCAGAACTTTTCTCTCGAAAACGCACAACGTTGACTCATCAGTTAGCAGGACGGGAAATGAGTGACTTGTACAGTTTGGTTTTGTTTSTCGAGAGAAGTCTTTACTTCTCAATTGCCTACTTAGTCCGATGTAGCACTTGATAGCAAAAGATATCCTTCGTTGGATTTCAAGGTTGACGTTGTTGTTGGTGTTAATGCTAGAAGTTAACGCAAAGAAGAAAGTTCTCTGATCATCAACAACTCGGTATAAGGGAACTGCGGGATGGCATTTCAAACTCTCTATGTACAGCTGCTACCGAAACCATTGTCGCAGCGGAGAGTATACAGGTTACCTGGCTCGCAACGTTACAATTGACCACAAAATAAGTAAAAGTATAAGTATAAAATAAGAAAAGTAAGCATTATAGAAATGTGTGCACAAATATTTAATTCTTATTAATAAATAAAACTTGATTGTGTTTCAGCTATGAGTTTATTGGTAATAACGCTCGCTATACGGCATGACAGAAGGAATATGTTGCGAATACAAAGGCGCACTTTAAGGGACTCGACAGATAAATTCAGCATTCCCGAGCCGCGTTTTCTTGAGTTATTCCGCTTCAGCAGAGCTGCAGTACGGACACTCCTTGTGGAAATCGAGCCTTTTATGGACACAGCAGTAAGAAGTACGTTTATTCCAAACTACACAAGGTTGTGTGTAGCGCTGCATTACTATGCTACAGGATCATTTCTTAGGGACGTAGGTCAGGATTTTGTTTGCCTTACAAGGAAGACCATGGTAAGCCGCATAGTGCATCAAATTACAGAGATTTTGCAAAATCATATGGCGCAACGTTACATCATTTTTCCAACTGCCTTAGAGCAGCAGAATATTGYGAAGCAACGGCAAGTGAAGTGTTATAATCTTGAATATTAATGGTTATTTATAGCTGGCTTATGTTTATGTTCACTTCCAGGTTCTTCACTGCTACTGGATTTCCTGGCATTTTAGGAGCGATTGACTGCACTCACGTCAAAATTAAGAAGCCACCACTTGCAGTAGAGCACTGCTACATTAATCGAAAAGGATATTTTTCCAAAAATGTGCAACTAGTGTGCGACTTTGATTTAAATATCCTGGCGTGCTTTGCAAGATATGGGGGAAATACGCACGACGCCTAAATATGGGAAAGCAGTACACTAAAGTCCCATATGCTGAATGAATATACTGCCAATGGGTCCACAGGATGGTTGCTTGGAGACTCTGGATATCCGTTGCAGCCGTGGCTAATGACTCCATTCAGAAATGTAGAGAGTATTAGTCAGCAAAGCTTCAACGATTCTCACGCACGAGTTCGAAATTGTGTGGAACACCTTAATGGAGGTTTAAAAAAATTATTTGGATGCCTTTCCCAAGACCGTGGCCTAATGTTGAACCCCTCATTTGCAGGATCAATAATTAATGCATGCTGTACACTACATAATATTCGAAAGAGATATAATTTTCCACTTCCTGAAGTTGATCCACTTGAAAATTCTCCGCATGGAGACAATGGTTCATTACTTAACATTTTAAATGAAGAAAGAGCTATACGAAATACTATTTTAAGAAACCACTTTTGTAGTTAATTCACATACAGTGGTGTTCAGAAMAATATGAGGAACATCAAATGACACTGTTTGCAAATTATTTTTAACTCTTTATTTTTTATAATATATATTATAATAACAGTAGATTGTAGTGAACATTGCTGTCCTTCCGGGAATATATTTCAATGCAACAACAATTGGAGCGGGACTATGTAACCCCGTTTGAAGCAGCTACTGCTATTGGTGTACATACGCAAAGCCTTGGCCCCAACCAATGAATATAATATTTACGTTTTCGGAAAAGCCGCTCTCCTGAACATTTACCGTATATTTAAATATACAAAGTGAACAATGCGAAAAAATTTAGTGAAWCATTGTGAAATACCAACTGTTATTAATAAGAATTTTTGTAATTTTAATCGAGAATATTTTACAAAATAAAGTTGTTAGCAACATTTTGCGAGATATTCGACGCTAAAGTACAAAAAGTTGAAAATTTCGAACATTTCAATAAGTTATTGCACCACATTTAACACACTTTATTCACATTTTTCACTTTAAATTAATTAAATTCCACTATAAACTTTTAAACAAATCCACATTTTACACTTTTAGATGTTTTTTTCCCTAAAAAGAAAATATAAATATTTTGCTGTGCCTACCCCTTATGCAACAGTCGCTAGAAGAAAAGGAATATTTATGAAATTTAAAGAACGTACAAATTTTATCGCAAATTGTTACCTCCCGTCATGGTTTCCAGCAGAGCTCTCAGTGTATCGTGACTTCTATTTAAAACACCCATGTGCTCCTTGTGTTGTCTCTCCAAAATCTCTTTCAGCTGCGCATGGAGATTTTCAATGAGACTGTTCGCCTCTTCCACACAGCTTTGGTTTGTGCGCTGTTTTTGTTGCTGTTTGTTTGGCACAACCTCAAGCACCTGACCCATTGCAACCTCTTCAAGTGCCTCCAGCTCGAAGATGTCCAAACTGTCCGCGTTTGCCTAGAATTCCGAACGGATCACTAATTAGCTTAGTTTTTAGTTTTGTAATATGTTACTTACGTCCAACCCAATGTTTGCAGTAGTATCACCCTCATCMTCAAGGGTAACATCAACCATTTCAGCAGTTGTCTGCAGTGTACACCAATTTTATTATCACATTTATAATCACAACTTTAAATTTTGACAGACGTTACTCACCGACAAACCAATTTCGGGATCACCGCCCACCATGTCGCTGGAAAAAACTCCAGAATTTCCCGGTCCATGGCATCCAACGGTTTTGGACCGTCCTGCAACGGCAGGTTTCCAGTTCGTCTGGCGAACGCTCTGTGGGCATTGTGCAGTTTCTTGACTGCCGATTTCCAGTCTATCCAACACTAAAAAAACTAACACACATATGTAAATTGTAATGCTAAACACAAGAATATTTTAGTTTTACCATTTTCCACTGATTAGGGGACTTGTGGGACCCTCCCAATGCATTTAATTCAGCAGCAACGGCAGCCCAAACCTCTTGGTGCTCCTT